TCAGTAATTACTTTTATAGTAGTTAAAATTAGAAGTACAACTATCAACCCACGGACTAGAATGTCTAGGAATTTATTTTACTTTTCTGTGTGTTTCGGACAGTTAAATTAGTGAAATACGCTCCGAATAGCATTCCTTTGAGAACGACTCGAGGTCGGGTAGCTCGATTACCAAATACCCAAAATTATACTAAACACCCGCTAGGCATAAATACTTTGTTTTTAATTTATTTTTACTACCTATAAAATAAAATTGTCTCAACTTAAAATAATTCTACACCCCTGGATCCAAATAAAAAGTATTGTTATATTATAATAAAAACATGATAACAAAATAATGTAATTAGTATTTAAAAGGAAAAAAAAGCTGAAAAATTGCCACCGAGCTCGCCTAGGAGCGCCTAGGTGCCGCCTAGCCGCTTGGCCATTGAGCCCGCCTAAAAGTGCCTAGGCGTCGCCTAGCCGTCTTGTCGATTTTTTCAGCTGAGTCATGCAAGTCGCACGGCCGATTTCTAGTACAATGATAATGACTCATCAATATTGTATTATATCAATATCACATTTATTATATCTTTATATAGACATCTGTTTATTATTATTATTATTATTATTATTACTATTATTATTATTATTATTATTATTATTAATATTATTATTAAGAACAACCATTCCACCTTACTATTGTTATTTTTGGACAAAAATGATAAAATTTAATCTAACTCGAAAAATGAGATGAAGATGTAAATAATATTGTATTTTAAAAAAAATTGAGATGGACTTTTTATTGCGAATAAATATAATAATTAAAATATGGTGTAATATAAGATTAATAAAGTTTTGATTGTTGAGAAATTAATTTTAGTTTGCTAAGTATATGTATAATTCCATAATTGAAGGCAATCACAATTAAAACAATTTTTTTATAAATATGGAAAGAACGATGTTGAACATGACAATGTCGGATCGGATGATCTGGCGCAATTTCTCTGTGTGACAATGGCGTGTTGCATCGGTAGACAACTAAATTCTAATTGGAGAGGTTGTAGTGGTTGCGACGCTCTGAATGCGTGAGACGGGCGGAGGTTGCTGCATGGCAAAACGTGGACGGAGAAGATGCCCGAAAATGAAATCTGTTCACGGTGACGCGGGAGAAAGACAACGCAGCGAATCCGGCTTATCGAGTGTAGCGGTGAATGGATTCCTAGCCAGGAGTCGCCGCCGACGACTTTCTGTGGTCGCCCTCCTCGAAGTCTGAGAGTATCGCCAGTTGCGAGCTTGGACGAGGGTATTTCCAGTTCTGAGTATAGCGCCCACCCGACACGTTTTGGCCAGGTCAAACCGTTGACCACGGGTCCAGGACCGAACCAGATTATTGACGGGCCGTGTAAGGGTCATCCATTTCGTGACCCGACCCGACGGGCCCGGGCCGGGCGGGTCGATGACCCGCTTTTTCTATTTTTTTTTTAAAAAAATTTTCTATTGTTTTTTTACAAAAAAAATAATGACGAACCCGGACAGAACACGGACACTGCCTGGCCAACCGGGCCATTGACCCGACACGAGTATAGGTCCGTGCCGGGTCCAAGTCATTATTTTCAAGACCGGCGAGCGACCCGGCCCGGATATTGGCCATGTCTATGGCCAAAGAACATTTTTAGTATATGATGTGTTTATACTTAGTATATATTGAGTTTTTTTTTATTTACATAACATTTACTAACCACAATCTTGATGTTTGGGTTTTGTTTATACTTTTTGTTTATATTTATCACTTAAATTTATACCTAAAATATGTATAACATTAATATGTAAAATATATTAGATTGGCTCTCAAGATGTGAAAAAAATAAAAATAAAGAAACAAATATATATATATATATTTATATATATATATATATATACTAGATTGCAATTTTGTTAATTTGCAACCAAAACTCAATTTATGCTTAGTTTATAACTTGTAACTATGTATAAAATATATAAGTAAATATATACAATTTACATTTTCGTACTATACAAAAAAATAAAAAAAATACGATCATGGCGACAATTATAACAAAAAATAGATACGTGAACTTATTTTTGGGTCATAAGTTATAAGCTATCAACTATAACTCAAAATTCACTTAAAAAATTATAAACTAGCTTATTAGCCAGACATAAGATCATCTTGTATATCTAACATCCAATCTCCATCTAAAATTTCAATTTCCAAACAAATAAACCAATATATATGTCTTTAAAAAAATAGCAGAAAGCAAATCAACTCTAAAAACACAAAAATCTCTTCTTTTTTTTTTTTTTTTTTTTTTTTTT